ACACACACAAAATCCACCTCATTCATAGCAAGCTTGTGCACAAAGCCTGGGGCCTGGGGTCTGGAGAACAGAACTGAAGTCCTGCCTCATCTCCCAATATACTCGCTCACGCAGGCCATGCGTTTACTCCAGGAGCCTCAATTTCTCTACGATAAAATTGGCCCATAAGGGCGCCTGGCTGGCTCAGTCAGCAGAGTGGGCGACTCTTTTTTTTTTTTTTTTTTTTTTAATTTATTTATTTGACAGAGAAGTAGGCAGAGAGGCAGGCAGAGAGAGGGGGGAAGCAAGCTCCCCACCGAGCAGAGAGCCTGATGTGGGGCTCGATCCCAGGACCCTGGGATCATGACCTGAGCCGAAGGGAGAGGCTCCAACCCACTGAGCCACCTCAGGGTCATGAATTTGAGCCCCACACTGGATATAGAGATTACTTGAAAATAAAATCTTTACCAAACAAATAAAATTGGCATGTAGTCACCTTTTGGAGACTGATGGACGGACATTGGCAAAGTCCCCCAGAAGCCAGGGCTAGGACTCCACTGTGCCTGTTTGATCTTCAACACGTACACTCGCTCGTGGGGCTGAAAGGCACAGAGAGTGTGAGGGTGCATGGCGGGAACTCGCATGCTCGTGGGACACCATCTGCAGAGGCAGCGTCTTTTCAGTGCAAAGGTGTCCTCTGAGCACCTTGCAGGACAAGACCCATGAGGGCTGTGGAGGCCACAGAGAAGATTCCAAAGGTGCCTGCTCCCAGGGTAACTGGGGACAAATAAGGGATCAGATGAATTCTCCATGTGATGAGGGAAACAGAGCAGGTTCAAAGCCTGGACACAAGGGAGCAGGTGTCGGGGAGGGTTAGGGGAAGCTTCACAGGTTGGCCACGATGAAACCAAGCCGTCATCTCTGATAGTTCCCCTAGATCTCAAGCCCCAGTCCATCACAGAGAGATGGAGATTAGAACCGTGTTTCAGCTTTGCTTTCTTACACCTGCTGAACTCCTAGGACTGTACCAGGCTCTCGCTTTGGATCCCCTGTAGGTAAGGCAAAACAGAAAGCAAGAACCTCCCAGAACTTCTCATTTAGTCCTTGGTTCCAGGATGAGTTTTGCTGCTGATTGTACTGTGAGTGGGACACTAGTGACCCTGTGACTTGGCCACCATCTTTGTGCACAACTGTCAACTCCATGGAACTTCAAAGAGTGAGGAAGAGGGAATTAAGAGCAATTTTACTACCTGACTTTTTTTTTTTTTAATATGTGCGCTGTGTATTTCTGTGTGTCTGTGTATCTGCAGGCATTGCACATGTGTGGGGTGCACGTGTGTGTCTGTTCCACATGCTATATGTGTCTGTATATCTGGGAGTACCTGCCTTGCTGTACATGGGTTCCTAGGTGTGGAGAGGTGGACAGAACCCTGAGGCTTTGGGGGTGATTCATTCCCCTTCTCTGTGCCTCCGCTTCCTCTCCTCTATGAATGGATTACTCAAATTCCATGATTTTGAAGGATTCTTGCAGATCTGACCCTCCTTAACTTTGTCATTCACCGTACTGTTTAAGGATTTCAGCCAAAGAAGATCAAAATAAGAGTCAAGGGCTCGAAGCTGCTGCCCATGCAGGGACTGGAATTAGACATGAGAAGGTTAAGGTCCCAGACCAGTCCACACTGGCCTCAGGAGAGCCATGGCACTCCTGATCTGAAGCAACAGTTGTTAGAATGCAAGGTCATGGGCGCCTGGGTGGCTCAGTCATTTAAGTGTCTCCCTTTGGCTCGGGTCATGATCCCAGGGTCCTCAGATCGAGCCCTGCCTTCTCCCTCTCTCTCTTTCTCTGTTGCTCCCTCTGTTTGTGCTTCCTCTCTCAAATAAATAAATAAAATTTAGAATGCAAGACCAGACCCAAGGAAATGGATTGTATCCCCCACCCCCATGCTGGCCGGGGAGAAGGGGCAGAGTCTCCATATGACTTCCCAAAGGGCTCTAAGGAGGCAAAGGGATGGAAGGGGGGCCATCCAGGAGACAGCTCTGGGCGGGAAGTGTCCCCAGGTCCTACTGTGCCAACTGCAGGCTCCTGATAAGAAGGGCCACCACCCTGATAGTCTCAAGTCTGCTTATCATGGTCCCCAGACTACCCCACCCAGGCTCAGACTCTACTCCAGCCCACACCCTGATGAGAGCACCCTCCACCCCAGCCAGGGCCACAGCCTCAGAATCTCTGGCGGGCTGAGATATCTCTATTTTACCTTCAGGACCCCTGGTTTCTGCCCATGTTCACCTTTGGTCTTAGGACTAAGTGAGGACCAGGCAGGAGCCTAGGCAATGAGTGGCGTAAATCTTGGCTTCACTGCATGAAGCCTTTACTCTGGTAAAGGAGCCTGACCTGCTTGTGAGGTCTCTGAGTAGAATAGGCGAGGTAGGAGGGGTCGCAGGACAGGAAAGTGAGCAAGGAGCAGACATATGATAATTTCTCACCTGGCTAGAGGGCCAGAAAGGTTTCTCAGACATATTTCTCAGCAGGCAGGTTCTCTGCTCAGCGGGGAGCCTGCTTCCTCCTCTCTCTCTCTGCCTGCCTCTCTGCCTACTTGTGATCTCTGTCAATTAAATAAATAAAATCTTAAAAAATAAAGTTTAAAAAAAAAAGATTAAAAACAAAAACCAGGATGCCTGGGTGGCTCAGATGGTTAAGCAGCTGCCTTCGGCTCTGGTCATGACCCCAGCATTCTGAAATCAAGTCCTGCATCAGGCTCCTTGCTCGGTGGGGAGCCTGCTTCTCCCTCTGCCTCTGCCTGCCACTCTGCCTCTCTGACAAATGGATAAATAAAATCTTTAAAAAATAAATAAATAAATAAATAAATAAATAAATAAATAAATACCAAAACCAAAACCAGGGGGAAGAGCATGTGCCAACATTCTGTGGCAGCAGGAAGCAGAACATCTCCCAGGAACCAAAAGGTTTGGTCTCTCCTCCCACTCCCCATCTTGGCCTCATCTGCCCCTGCTGAGTTGGGGTCTAACTGCCTCCCAGCACACAGGCCAGATTGTCTAGGATGGAGAAGGGGAGGGAGCTGAGAAGCAGATGTGTCTCCCAGAATGTGAGGTCTAAAATAACAGTTGCAGGGCGCCTGGGGGGCTCAGTCGGTTGTGTGTCCAACGCTTGGTTCCAGCTCAGGGTGTGATCCTAGGGTTGTGGGGTTGAGCCCTGCATTGGGCTCTGCACTCAGCCGGGAATCTGCTTGAGAGTCTTTTCCTCTTCCTTAGATCCTCCTACCCTGCATCCCCCTAGTCCCACCGCCCACCCCCACATCACAAGCACATGCTCTCTCTCTCTCTCTCAGATAAATACATCTTTAAAAATCAGGGGCGCCTGGGTGGCTCAGTTGGTTGGGCAAACTGCCTTCAGCTCAGGTCATGATCCTGGAGTCCCGGGATGAGTCCCACATCAGGCTCCCAGCTCAGTGGGGAGTCTGCTTCTCCTTCTGATCCTCTTGCCTCTGGTGCTCTTTCTCACTCTCTCTCTCAGATAAATAAAATCTTGGGGGGGAAATAAATAAAATAAAATGAAATAAACAGACCCCTCCCCCCGCCAGCTTTCTGAGAAGTCTCTACACTAGGAATCTTGCACTGAATACTGCCAGGCTCTCACTGTAAGTGGCTTAGGTCTCAACAGGCCCCTACCTGTTCTTATGCTGGCTCTCAGAAGAGCTTGAATCCCCCTGCCCTCAATTGACCCAGCAGAGGACCCCTCTACCCAGGGGAGCTTGCATGGCAGAGGTAGCCTAGGTCTACCCTCCTTGGGCTCTGCATAAACATAGGCAGGGGCCCAGGAACTGAAATTTAAGCCAGAGCTTGCCCCAGGAATCCAGCTTTCAGGACCCTTCCTACTTTATAGGATTCAACTAACATTTCCACTGCCATCACACTAGTGCCATGGCCGAAACAACCGGCACCTGGCTATGGCCGACAATGAAAGCCTAAAGGATGGGATGAGGCTGTCCTTCCTCCTCCCAGGCCTGGCAGACAGATGATCGACTTCAAGGGGACAGGACTGAAAGGTAGACCCTAGCCTTAGAAAGGTCCGTAAAGTCTATGGGAGAAAGGGCCTACTAGATAGAGTGACCAGTCACCCTTGTTCCAAGGAGCCCAGCAGGGAAAGGGTTAAGAGGTTGGGCTTTCTAGAACCGGGGAAAGTGTCCCACCCAAGGGAGGGGCCAGTGGATTAAAAGGCGGGCAGCTTGAGTTGAGAGGCAGGGTCAGGGCGTCCTCACCCCTGAAGGCCGCCCCGTCTTCAGTTCCCGCGCCAGGTGAGTACCCTCTCCTGGGCCTGACTGCTTGTTGGTCTGACCTGAGGGAAACTTCCGCCTCATCATGGGATCTCTGGCTTCTTTAATTCTGACACTGGGTCCCCAGGGAGATCTCAACAGACCCTAGCTCTGCAGGGTTCTCCTGGCCAGTCCCCTTCCTTACCCGACCTTGACCACAGCCATCAAGGAGCTGTTGGCTCAGAAGCTATGGAGCAGGGAGTGGGGAGTGCTGCGTGTCCAGCACCGACTGGTCCTGCTCTGCTCCCAGCCCGTGTCTCTCCCTGCCTCAGTGCTCTCTAAGCCATGCTCCCTGTGCCTGCTGCGGGGCCCTGGCTGGGATATCATCATATACTGTAAGTTTGCAATGAGATACTACAGTATAGATGATGTACTAGTCCGGGTCCCCACAGCTCTGGAGCCAGATGAGGAGGGCAGGGGATGCTGCAAACCCACCAGGCTCGCCGCTCAGCCTATCACAGCCTGCTGACCACCAGGACGCTTGGGGATGGCGAGGAAACCGTTACCATTACTGAGTTTAGTAATGGTAACGGTTCTCTTGCTGTACCCAGAATACGTGTCAAGAAGAGAGCTCAGGACCCTGGAGCAGATCACTGGAAGAGAGGGAGACTCCAGCTCAGACAACAGGGTGGGGGTGAGGGAATGGGTTTTCTCTTTCCTGTTCTAAAGAAATAAAGATGAGAACCAGTATGCTTGTCTTTTAATTTTATTAGCATTCAAGCCTGGGGAGAGGGATGGGGCAAGTGGCACTATCTCCCTTAGGACCCACAAGTCCTTATGCGTGGCTTTAAGGTAGAGGAACTGAGGGGATAGGAAAAAGCCCTCTGCTAAAACTGGCAACTCAGGGAGAAACTCTGGGTTCGATGCCAGCCAGAAGCAGAGTGACATTGTTCCTGCCGAAGAGCCAATTTCTAGAGCTAAGCAGCTGGAATCCCAGGCAGAGGCACGACCCCGTAACTGAGCTAAGTTTCTTCCTCCAACAGATGTGGTCAGGCAGGGGCTAAGCAGGATCACTAAGGCCATGCCAGCCAGTCAGTCCATCAGGCAGTGCCCATGGCTCTCACCAGTCCCCATCCCTGGGCAGGGGCCATCCTGGTCAGTGGCTCCTGCCAGCAGCTTGGGCTGGGATGCCATCGGAGAGGCAGCTGAGGGCGGTCATCTGAGAAGCTTCACAGAGAGCCGCAGCTGAACATCGCAGAGGAAGATGTCCATGAGATCTCGGCCCACCTCCTGTGCAATCTGGGAGATCAAGCGCCCCTTTGGACCAATCAGGATCCTCTAAGGGTGGGGTGGGTGAGAGAGAGAGAGAGAGAGAGAGAGAGAGAGAGAGAGAGAGAGAGACACATAAGCCTGCTCTCGGGGCTCCTGAGCAGTGGAGGAAGAACCCTTGCCTAATGCCCTGGTCCTTTCTCCAAGCCTAACCTGGCTTACCACATGAGATTCTTTGAGCACCAGAAGCTTCTGTTCGATCACCAGCTCCCCGCTTGGCCCTTCCTCCCACATCACTGTCCTCTGCACAGGGAGACATCAAGATTAGTCAGACGGACCCACATTCCTAGTTCTTCAGGCCCCAGGTGTCCGGTCCTGGGTGCTGTGCCTGGTGAAGAGCCCCCAAATTCCTTCACTGTGCCCACACCTGCTGCACACTGTAGGGAATCTCCTGGGGCAGGTGCTCTAGGAGCTTCTCTCGGATGATGTTGGCACAGATCTCCTCAGGCGTCTGGCTAGTGAGGACTCCACTGTGGAATTCCCAGGGTCCTGGCCGGGCCTGTGCCAGGAGGTATTGCTGTGGGTACAGAGAGGGACAGGTGGGCAGCTCAGTCCCAACCAAGACTTTCCTACTCACTCTCACTACCAGGAGGAACTCCCGAGGCTTGTCTTCACATGGTAGAAATCAAAGGCCAGGCTCCGGTCAAGGCTAACTGACCTTTAGTGTTTTCACATCCTCTTGGCTTAGGGCTGACAACATGAAGATCTCCTGGAAGTGGGGCCAGCCGATCCTCTGAGGGCCTCCCACAGACTGTGTTTTTGGGCCCTCAGCTGCTGGACTGGGGCAAGGAGTGCCAGGCTGTGAGGGAAGGGCCTGCCTCATCTTGAGCTTCTTGCCATTGACCACACCTTTGGTAAGGGCTGCTGTGAGCTCCAAAAGAATGGACTTCTGCTTCAGGCAATCTACCTGGGCGTGGAAGATGGGCAGAGGGTGTGTGGTCAGCGAGATGGGCCCCACAGAGGAGAGTAGATCCCTTCATCAAGTAGGCGGTGCTCACCTTGTTCATGACAAGGATGCTAGGGATTTGGGAGAACTGAGTCAGGCACTGGAGCAGCTGGGGGCTGAGCTGGTTCTGAGTCCACTTGTCTGAGACATCCACAAGGACCACAACTAGAAGTTGGCAGGGTGGGGAGCAGGACAAATATATGACCACTCTCTCCCCACCCCTCCAAAATGTCCATGATATGGGCTCTGGGTCAACCCCCATCCCCCAAACTACCAGGAACAAGAGACTGTGACCATGTAAATTGGGCTTCAGATTCCCATCATGAATCTAACCCAGATCAGCAGATTCCATGCTCTTCCATGGATCTTCCAACAAAGAAAGCTCCAGATGGTGCCTGAGGGACAGACAAACATAGGTCAGAAAGGGTCTTATGACTGATATACACCTAATGAGGGATAGGGTATGATAAGAGGGTTTTCCAGACCTTATGGTGGAATCTCCCCACCTTCTCCTCAACACCTTTCCCTCTACAAACCTGTTTCCATAGCTATTACCTTTTCTGTTTAACAGGGCTGATGAGGCCAGGGGTGTCAAGTAGAATCTAAAATCAGGAAAGAGAGATGCCCACCCCCCAAGATGGAACGATTAGGACTAGCAAGTGAGAGAAAGGCCACCACTGATGTCAGAAAACTGCATCCACTCTAGGACAGGATGACTTCAGATTTTTACCCTTCAGCTTTGTTTTAATTCTAGGCAGGATCTAACAGAAAGATGATGACTGAATATATGGAAGATTAGGAAGGAGTAAAGAGGGAAATAGATCTTTCTGACTAGAAGCCAGAGGGTGTAAAGTAGAACTGCACTAGGCCTAATGAAAGAGGAGACCCCCTTCCCTCAGAAAAGTGAATCTCAGGGTGCCTGGGTGGCTCAGTGGGTTAAGCCTCTGCCTTTGGCTCAGGTCATGATCTCAGGGTCCTGGGATCGAGCCCCTCATAGGGCTCTCTGCTCAGTGGGGAACCTGCTTCCCCCTCTCTCTCTGCCAGCTGCTCTGCCTACTTGTGATCTCTCTCTCTCTGTCAAATAAATAAATAAATAAATCTTAAAAAAAAAAGTGAATCTAAACATTTTGTTCAGGTCTAACTGTAAGGGAGATCCTCTTAAGTTCACCCACTGTCCAGTTTGCTGGACTTCCTCTGAAGTTACCCACCACCTGGGCCTCTTTCTCCGTGATGACCCCCAGAGCTTGGCAGCGAGTGGTGTGCACCTTCTTGGAGACAGGGAACACCTGCCAAAAACAAAGAAGTCCCAACTGAGTTCCCAGATCACTGTGGGACAATTCATGAAGAAACAGAAAAAAGAGACAGATGAAAGGGGCGGGGTAGGAAGGGGTGTCAAAGATGCAGCATACTTTCCGACCCAGCAGTTGGTTGGAGAGTGTTGACTTCCCTGCATTTGGGGCACCCAGGATGACGACTCGTAGGACCCGGGGGTTCTCAGGCATGTTGGGATGATGGACCAATAGGAGATCCTGCTCATCTGTGTGTGGGGTAGGGGCAGGAAGGAAGCGACAGGTAATGCAATATGGATCCCCTCTCAGGTACTCAGTCCTACTGGCCCACAAAGGAAATAGGGAATACAAGCTTAGTGTACCAGGTTGAAGCTGAGACCTGGCTTTGAGACTTAGTTTGCCCATTCATTTGTTTATATGATTTTCTCAAATTCTCTAACTTCTCTAAGCTCCTTAGTTTTCTCACCTGTAAAATGGGAGATAATATTAACAATGCCTACTTAAAACCTTCTGATGGTTGGCAATTTTGCAAAAACTATCAACACAATCCCTGGCATTTAATACTCAATTACTGTGTGGAATTGTACTGTGTAGTTGTCCCTGATAAATGTATGTACATGTGTACATGTGTGAAAGCACAGCCAGAACAGATAAAGCCAGAAATCCCTCCAGCTCAGACACTCTCACCCTACTAAGGATGTTATAAAAGCTCTGCAAGCTTTCTCAGTGCTTTTAAGTATTAGTTTCTTATAATACTGCACTACCATGACCAGTTTCTGTGTCCAGCCTCGCTACCAGAGTGTAGTCTCTGCTACTTGAGAAACAGAGGGTGCTATTTCCTAGGTGTAACTCAGTCTCTTGACAAGGAGATGGGGCACTTATTGGATCCAGTTCGCTTCCCATTTCGGGACAGAGAGCCACAATTCTGCCCTGCCCGTGTCCCTTCAATCTCCTGCTCTTTGTGAGCATCTCTGATTGTGACCACATAGGTTCCCTCTGGCTCCCAATTCTTAGAACGTGGAATCTCTCTCCTGTGAGATACTCCAAGGCTCGCCTTTCTCTCGGGGCCTCAAGATCGTTTTCCATAATATAGAACCAAAGATGATATCCCCAGGGACTGAGGAGTTTCCCCGACCCAGAAGTTTCACGTTTTCGCTAAAACGGTGACAGTCCGGGATGAGCTTATCTGGGCGCTTTACCTCTGTGCATAGACACGCCGGGAGGGTGAGAAGTCAACGAACTGTCTGGCTGAGAGAGTCCAAGGAAACGGTCCAAGGCTGAGCTCTGGCCATAACGGCGAGAGGCAGAGGACAGGCGGGGACCAGAGAAGGCGGCGCCCGCGAAACAGGACACGCACCTCCGCTGACAGTCAAAGAGCGAGGAGAGCCGGACCCCCCGCTCCCTCGCGGCATTGGTGCCCAACTGCCGGACCCCTGACACCGCCCAAAACAGCGTAGCCGCGCGACGGCTGGGAGCAGCCATTACAGCCGCAAGGCACTCCGGGAACTGACCAGGAACTCACCTACGATTGGATAGGGCGGTGGAAAAGCGAACGAGCGGAATGCTAGATTGGCCCAGAGTGCGGAAATACAGATGATGTTGGAGGTGGGCTGGGGGAGAAACTGCTCCGGAGACTGACCAAGGCTAAGGGAAAGGAAAAATGTGTATTTAGAGTTTCTGTGGACATAATGATCCTTTTGGACTCCCATAAATATCCTGTTTTCTTTGCCTCCTGCCGAAGTTTTATAAACTTCGAGCCTTGAGAGACTACAGCTCCCATGAGGACAAGCGGCAGAAATTTTTCTCTTAGCTTCTGACTTCTCCCAGCTGGAGAAACGAATGCACCGAAGGAGGGAAGGTCCTGAGAACCGGAATGGGTGCCTTATTAGTTCTCTCTGGTTTCAGGCTTGCAGGTTCTCTCCCAGTATCTCCCTGGCTTGTACTAGCGGTGGGCCGCGTTTTCCGACAGTCTTCACCTTTGCTTTATGTGAGCCTCCTGTAGGGAGTACTCCCTGGGTCGGTGTTCCTGAGGAGCAGTAGACCCGATTTCCCATTTATGAACCTCCGTTACTATCTTCTCCCTAAGGCCATTCCTTTCTGAGGAAAAACCAGAGGCTCTGTAAAGGGAGGAGAAGCTGCGTAGTCAGCTACAGTCCCCCCAGATTGCCTTAGCGGCCTGCGGAGCTTGATGTATCTTAGTCGTTTTGCGCCCTTAACCCTTAATCATCCTTGAAGTCTCTCAGTCACACTCTTGAAATTGAGAGAGAAATGTTGCAGTTGTTGGAGAAATGGGGATTTATTCATATGCTGTGTACAGGCCGTGTCCAGGTGATGGGGATGCGTGAATTAAGAAAATGGACAAAAATCTCTGTTACAGGACTTGTGTCCTGGAGGCCGTGTGTGTGTGCATGTGTGAGAGAGAGAGAGAGAGACAGAGACACCTGACAGGAACAGTTCAGGTAGCATGGTCTGGGTGATAAACCTAAAGACAGAATGAAAGATGGGGCGACTGTCTGGTTCAGATGCGGCACCTGATCTCAGGCTTGTGAATTTGAGCCCAGTGTTGGGTTGGGTGTAGAGCTTACTTAAAAGAGAGAGAGGGGTGCCTGGATGGCTCAGTCGGTTAAGTGTGTGCCTTCAGCTCAGGTCATGATCCCACGGTCCTGAGATGGAGCTCTCTATGGGTCTCCCTGCTTAGTGGGAGGCCTGCTTCTCTCTCTCCCTCTACCTGCTGCTCCCCGTGCTTTGCTCTATCTCTCTCTCTCTCAAATACATAAAATCTTTAAAATAGAGCGAGAATGAGAGGAGAGGTAGTTGAGAAAAGCCAGGGGAAAAAATATATATGCATCTTTCCAGGGGAGCAGAGCAAAAGGGAGTGGTAACAGAAGAGGGGGAGAGAAGTGGGGTTAAGAAAAGATTTTCTTTTTTAAGATCAAAGATTTTTGTTTGCTCATGGCGATGACCAGGTAGAGAGGAGAAAATTGCTGTATAGGACAGAGAGGGGAGAATTATTGGGAGGATGGAACCAACTGACTGGGCTGCTGTTGGAGTGGAGGCTGAGTGTCCAGAATAGCTCTGAGTGACACAAGATTGACAGAGACTGGGCATCTAAATGCACTGATGGTTTGCAAATGGCGCCAGGCTCCAGCTTTCAGTCTGCCTGCTCTATTAGCGGAAGAAACAACCTTTCTGGAACATGATATTCTGGATGTTCTTTGGGCATATGGGTGCCCAAAGAACAAAATACCACTTAATACAGGGCAGCTGGCAACCAGAAAAATATGAATCTTGCGTGGAGAGTAAGGTGAATGCCATTTCAACTGTAATTTGGTTGATGGGCAATTTCAGGTTAAATGGTGGCTGAAGAGCTTAATTAAATAAATGCAAAATCACCCAAAGGACACATACCAAGTCCTACAGCATTGGCAATAGAGAACACCTTGGAAGAATCCCTGGGATAACACAAAAACTTGGAGGAAATGTGTCAAAGTGCTTTGTTAATTCTCTTCTTTCCCCCAGATTTTCCCTCAAAGGATATTGTATGGAAATGTATTTTGTGAGATTAGGAGAGGCTAATCAAATGAAATAGACTGCACCGGTTCGTATGTCAACTTGCCACTTAGCTGTGCGAGTTTGGACAAGTTATTTCAACTTTCCAAATGTCAGTTTTGTCATCTGTAAAATGAAGAAGAAAATGATAAACACGTCTACCTAATACCATGTGTTCATTTGAATCTAGGATTTAGAACAATGGAGGATTTAGAACAATGGAGGCTCTCAATAAATGTCCTTATCTTAAAGCTAATTGTTTTAATCTTTCTTTTCTATAGAGACAATTTCTCTCTGTACTGTATTCCTCTCATCAGCATTTATTTAAAAAATGCTTGATCTCCGGATGCCTGGGTAGCTTAGTGGGTTAAGTGTATGCCTTCCTCTCAGGTCATGGTCCCAGGGTCCCGGGATTGAGCCCTGCCTTGGGCTCCCTGCTCCATGAGGAGTCTGCTTCTTCCTCTCCCTCTGCCTCCCCACCCTGGCTTTTTTTTTTTTAAGATTTTATTTATTTAGGGGCACCTGGGTGGCTCAGTGGGTTAAGCCTCTGCCTTCAGCTCAGGTCATGATCTCAGGGTCCTGGGATCGAGCCCCGCATCGGGCTCTCTGCTCAGCGGTGAGCCTGCTTCCCTCTCTCTCTGCCTGCCTCTCTGCCTACTTGTGATATCTCTCTCTCTCTCTCTCTCTCTCTCTGTCAAATGAATAAAAATTAAAAAAAAAGATTTTATTTATTTATTTGACAGAGAGAGATCACAAATAGGCAGAGAGGCAGGCAGAGAGAGAGGGGGGAAGCAGTCTCCCTTCTGAGCAGAGAGGCCAATGTGGGGCTTAATCCCAGGACCCTGAGATCACAACCTGAGCTGAAGGCAGAGGCTTAACCCACTGAGCCACCCAGGCGCCCGCCCCCCCCATTTTAAAAGATTTTATTTTTGGAGCGCCTGGGTGCCTCAGTCATTAAGTGGCTGTCTTTTCTCTGGTCAAGGTTCTAGGTTCCTAGGATCGAGTCCTGCATCGGTCTCCCTGCTCAGTGGGGAGCCTGCTTCTCTCTCCCCCTCTTCCTGTTGCTCCCCCTACTTGTGGGCTCTCTCTGTGTGTGTCTCTGTCAAATAAGTAAATAAAACCTTAAAAAAAATAAAGATTTTATTTATTTGTTTGAGAGCGAGGGAGAGCCATCCCTCTTCCCGTCATTTCTTGAATATACCAAGCTCATTTCTGCCCCAAGGCCTTTATATCTGCTACTCCTGCCTCCTATGTTCTAGATTTGGCTTCTGCTTCCTATTCAGGTCTCAGCTTAAATGTCCTTTTCTCACAGCATTTATCACTACCTTCAATGATTTTCTTGCATGCCTGAAATGCTATAGGAGCATCGTCAAGAGTCTTCACAGTCTTACCAACCCCTCATGGCCCCAATCTGAACAAGTCCCTCCCTTGCTTCACTCTCCTCAGAAAAAAGTGTAAAGTAACGTGGCTCTGGCTTACTTTGCTAGATTCCTCTCTCTTTGTTTTGCTTTTTTTAAAAGTTTATTTATTTTTAGTAATCTCTACATTCAACGTGGGACTCTTTGGACTGAGTCAGCCACATACCTCCGCTAGTCGCAACTCTTGTCATTCCTCTTTTTCAGCTTAACTGAATTTGTTTCAGTCTCCCAATTGCCTGGTATTCTTTCCCACTTCCAGGTGTCTCCTTTTGTCGTTCCTTCCATGACTGATTAAATTCTGAGGATGCTTATTTTTTTCTTCCCCTCCTTTGATAAGACAGTTTATAATATCTTGATTGAGCACAAAGATTATTGAGCCAGGGGTGCCTAGGTGGCTCAGAGGGTTAAGCCTCTGCCTTCAGCTCGGGTCATGATCTCAGGGTCCTGGGATAGAGCCCCACATCGGGCTCTCTGCTCAGCAGGGAGCCTGCTTCCCCCTCTCTCTGCCTGCTTGTGATCTCTCTCTCTGTCAAATAAATAAATAAAATCTTTTTTTTTTTTTTTTTAATTTGTCAGAGAGAGAGGGAGAGAGAGCAAGCACAGGCAGACAGAATGGCAGGCAGAGACAGAGGGAGAAGCAGGCTCCCCGCCAAGCAAGGAGCCTGATGTGGGACTCGATCCCAGGACGCTGGGATCATGACCTGAGCCGAAGGCAGCTGCTTAACCAACTGAGCCACCCAGGCGTCCCTAAATAAATAAAATCTTAAAAAAAAATTATTGAGCCAGATATCCTGGGTTTGATTTTCAGTTCCATTATTTACTGTGTGACCAGGGCAAGTTCTCTCTCCTTCAATTTCCTTATCTATAAAATAGGGATAGGGATGTGATGATGAAAAGAACTGATATGTATAAAGGACTTAGAACAGTGCTTGACACATAATAAATGTTATTCAAGTGTTTGTTGTTGTTATTAGATGTCCCCTACTAGACTGTAAGTTCTATGGGGTCAAGGACAATACATATTACTCACTGCTGTATCTCCAACACCTACAACAGTGTCTAACACATCATGAGTACTCATTAAATTTTTGTTCAGTGAGTGAATAAATTACATCTTTCTATAGATAGATTGGCATACCTTTGTGGTGTCAACATGGCTGCAGCATCTTGTTCTCACATCTGGTTTTAGTTGGAAAGAGCAACAGATTTCTCCTGAAGGAACGTTCTCCATGTGCATTTTGGCTCTGACGGGGTTACATGCCCATTCCTGAAACAATGATTGTAGCTTAAAGAATGTTATGTGCTGAATGACTTAGGTCTGGGTTATGTAAATGTGTTCTATGCCTAGAGTGACCTTATCCAAATCACAGGGTCTGAAAATGGAGTAGGGATGGTTCTCTGAATGATTATCATCGGATGTAGTGTGTCGCTACTTGGCAGGGAAAAAAAAGTCTGCGGTTCTGCCCTTGGTAAGAAATTCAAGTAGTTTGGGGTGCCTGGCTGGCTGGACTCTTGATTATGAGTTTGAGCCCCACATTGGGTGTAGAGTTTTTAAATATTTTATTTATTTATTTATTTGACAGAGAGAGACAACGTGAGAGAGGAAAAACAAGCAGGGGGTGTAGGAGAGGGAGAAACAGGCTTCCTGTTGAGCAGGGAGCCCAATGTGGGGCTTGATCCTAGAACCCTAGGATTGTGACCTGAGCCGAAGGCAGACACTTAACGACTGAGCCACTCAGGCGCTCTGTAGAGATTACTTAAAAGTAAATAAATAAATGAGCTTAATAAATAAATCCATATAAAAAAAGAAATTCAAGTAGGGAAATGGTTCAGGAGACCCGTATGGTTCATGTATGCTATCGGGGCACCTGCCTGGCTCAGTTGGAAGAATGTGCAACTCTTGATCTTGGGATCATGAGTTCGGGCCCTACACTGGGTATAGAGATTCCTTTAATAAATAAATAAACAAAACAAAAAAGATATGTCATCATCATGTAGATTCCAACAGAGGACTTCATGTGGTGGTAGAATTAGGAAGATACAGTTCCTGGAAACTTCGGGGTCAGCTTTAGCTTTTTTTTTTTTTTTTAAACACATCCATTCATCTGAACTTAGTATCAATATTAATTCTTCCTTCCTCTGGCTCTTAGATTTCCCCATGGTGCCAAATGTGTTCTCGTTCCAAAGGGTAATACTTTTGCAAGTAAAGACAACTCTTCCAAGTCAGGAGCTAGCTTATGGGTAGCTAGCTAGCCCTACTCTGTCAGCAGTTACATCTTACTCTATGTATGTCAAGAGATTGGGAGGCACTTCATATATGAGGCAAGCACCTTTGTGTAGACTTGCTTTTCTGGGAACTGAATTATGCTATCTGTACAGTATTTTCCCACAGCAACATATAGCTATGTATGTAAAAGTCACATGCATCTGGTAAGTAAAAAATCCTTCAGTTCCTAGGTGCCTTCATTTCTTAGTGACTTGAGAATTCCATTATATGTATTTTTAAAAAGACTTATTTATTTTAGAGAGAGGGAGGAGAATGAGCAGGAGGGACGGAGGGAGAGAGAGAGAAAGAATCTCAGTCAGACTCCATGCTGAGTGTGGAGCCCCATGAGGGTCTCGATCTCACAATCCTGAGATCACGACCTAGCTAAAACCAAGAGTTACACGTTTAACTGACTGCACCACCCAGGTGCCCCTATATGCATTTTTAATTAATAATCTGTAATAAATAATACTAGTGACACTCCATTTTTAGCATTCTCAAACTTTACTGTTGGGCCTATTCTTGCTTCTTTCCAAAAGGAGGAAAAAATTTCCTTAATCTTAGGAGTTTAAACATTCATATCAGATCCTGGCATTAGGAGTAGCTTTTGCTTTCCCCCAAAGTACAAAGAATTTAACACCTCTCACAGAAAGAATGGAACTGCTCCCTGCCTTCCCCTTCTCTTTGATCTTCTTTTGCCTTACATTATATCTTGGTTCCTAGATTTCCAAACTCTGAACTGTAGAGGGAAGACTGGGCTGGAGATGGGATGGGGGTCATGGTTATAAGGAGAGAGTTTATTCCTGTGTCTCCTCTTCCTTTCTACTGCAGTGCACTGCCCTCCGCTGTCAAGTATGTAGTGAATTTCCAAGATTCAATTAAGCCTAGTCTGTTGTTTGGCTATGCCAAGGCAGCACAGTGGTCTAGGAGCTGATGGTTGGGTTTCCATGGGCTAAAGGTCTAGTTTTTGTTTAACAGTTTGCACAAGGGCCAGGCTTCATAGTGAGAGCTGGAAAGTAGGGGACTATTAGCCTTCAGGTCCCTCGATGGCACATATGAGATGCCTAGAACATTTTTGTCCAATAAACGGTATGCGCTTGATAAACAAACTGAATTTAGCAGTGTCCCAAGGAAGTTTTAGTGCGGTCACCGCCTTGCCAAGATCCTTGGGACTTCTGAGCACCTCCTGGCCCGTAGTATATTCTGGGATGTAAAAGCTGCCTCTTATACCATTAGCCCCAGTGTATTCTAGATGTGATCGTCTTCTTGAAAGAAATCCCAAGTTCGGGGCTCTTGGGTGGCTCAGTGGGTTAAAGCCTCTGCCTTCGGCTCGGGTCATGATCACAGAGTCCTGGGATCCAGCCCCACATAGGGCTCTCTGCTCAGCAGGGAGCCTGCTTCCTCCTTTCTCTCTCTGCCTGCCTCTCTGCCTACTTGTGATCTCTGTTTGTCAAATAAATAAATAAAATCTTAAAAAAAAAAAAAAAGAAATCCCAAGTTCATTATCAGTCACCTCAGAGCACCTGCATTCAGGCCTTTAAGTGTAAGTAGGATCTAGAATCTTAAAAGTGTCCTTATGTCTATGGTTCCTTACGAGCATCGCGGTCCAAGCGTTAGTAACCTAGGCAAGGTAATCTAGAGGCCTTGGACCTGGGGTCAGCCGCCACAGCCTGTAAGCCTAACCAGCAGTCATGTCCACCTGAGACCCGGGGGTCCAGGGCATCAGGCACTGAAGAAGACGCCTCGGCGCGGGCTGCGCAAGCGCGGGCGTCCGTAAGGGCCCCGGCACTCCAGGCTGCGCAGGCGCATGAGCGGCTCCCGGCGAGTCCCGACGGCGGCGGCGGCTACTGAGGGGCCGGGCGTGGAGCAGCGGTGGCGGCGGCGGGCGGCAACGGAGCAGCCATGAGGGCCGGGCCCAGTCACCGACAGTGAGTAATGGTGGGAGAGGGGTGGAGGCGGGAGAGAAGAGGGGTGGCCTGGTGGAAGGATACCTCGACTTGGCAGGGGGGTGGGCTCTGTCTGTCGGAGGCGAAGGGGCGTGGGGGAGGGACAGTTTGAGGTGATGATGGGAGAATTTGGGGCATAGGTGGCCGGATCGCCCGCGCCAGGACTGGACAGCTTGGCGGAGGGAAGGAGGTGAGTGCTGCAGAGTGAAGGAGTCCACGCCAGGGGCAGTGTCCCGCGCTTCCCCGTTTGTCATCGTCCCTTCCCCCAGGAGCTTTCGGTCGCCTCTCCCTTTCCGCTTCTTTCAGAGAATGGTTGCGGGGGGAGGGTGGTGGAGGATGAAAGCCCTGCCGGAGCTGAAGAAGCTAACTCTGATCCAGGCAGGCAAGGGCCGGTCGCCCGGAGTCATGGGCTTTTCTGGGTGGAGGATGGGAGTCAGGAGCCCTCCGTTTAAAGCTGGGAGGGATCTAGAGAAAAAAGCTAGGGGCTTAGAGTCTGACAGGTTCGAAACCACGTCCACCATTCATAAAGCTGTTAGATAACCTTGGGCAGGTCCCACTTAACCTTTCTGAACCTCTGAAAGATGCAGTGGTTCAGTGGGCTATTTCAAGGATCTTGTATGTGATTGAGATTGTGTATGAAAACTGTGAATTGTAGGTGCTGTGCCGATGGTACTGTATCACCAGCAATATTACCTTACCGTCATTAGTAGAATGATTGATTTCTTTGTCAAGGCGGAGCATATTGTTTGTAAAACCCCAGTAGGCACATATGTCCGTTCTACGTAGGCTTGGTAGATCATGTGCAAAAAATACCAGTTTGTGATGTGACTAATTATCCATCAGACTTGTGTAGGAAAAATACCATACTCTTGGGCATTTTTACAAATGGTGTGTAGCTCCTACTCAAGAGGAAGGAAATAGAGAATGGAGGACCAATCTGTTAAATGCTTTCAGAACATAGCTCACTCACGTCGCTTGACTTGTAACACAGCTGGTACCAATGTGCTTTATTAAGAGTGGAGAAAACTAGTTTGACACAAGCTGGGAGGGCTGCACAATGAGGGATGTGCAAATACAATTTGTTATTTTTAAATTGTGAAAAAGTTTTCTTTTGCAAGGGAGTTTCTGGCTCCCCTAGGGCCCAGTCTCTATTTTGGAGGTCAGATAAGCGTATAGCAGCTTTTCAGCTCCCACTTTTTGTTATCCTGCCTGTGGAACCTCCAGGGTGGAGTGTCTCTCCGAGAAAGACAGAAGCAGCTGTGCTAGAGCCCAAGAGGTGGCTGGTTCTTTTCTGAGGGGCCGAAGGAGCACTCCTGAGGCTTTGTTGTTTTTCTTGTTGTTATTTAGGGTAGACAAAGCAGTGGACAGAGTTAGACCTTGTGTTTCTAGAGAGAGAGAAAATGGCTTTCTAGCCACAGCTTTTGGAAGAGGTGAAACTTCTTTCGAAAAGACAGAAGGAGACGGATACTTCAGCTTTTCTGGCTATGAAGATTGATTGAAAGCTTGAAATGGCGAGGCTTTTTGGAAATTAGTGATTTGTCTTTCGTCTGAGCAAAGGTAGGGAGTGGCTGTACTAGATCCTTGAAGATTCACAGATAAGAACTGTGAATTATAGGAATGGGGGAAATGAACCCTAATTGTCTTTAACTTTTTTTGGTAGAACTAGAAGGTGTTTTACCTCTCTTTCATGGAAATGCACAGTATATATTACTTTTAATTTTTTGCTCTAGTTCTTTGGCTCTTCCAATGAGTATCCATAACACTGATTATTTTTTGTTTGTTTTTGTTTTAGAGGGTAGTTTTTTAAAAAAAGCACTTGTTACTCTTGTCATAGGTCATTTACAGAGTACAAATTTCTTCTGTTTTTGACTTACACACGAAGATGAAGTAGAGGTATAAAATGTTAGAGCTGGCCTAGCTGTCCTATTTTATTTTAATAATTGGGCATTTATTTTTAATTTTGGTAATGTATTTTTCCCTCTACTGGAAATTTCCATTGGTTCAAACAAGTCCATAATGCTGTCTGTGTTATGTTAAAATGATAAAGGTTTGTTCAGCTGTGATGAGAATTTCCTGTCCTTCTCTCTGTTCTTTTTCCTATTTGTGGTTATTTTTATGTAGTAGATGACTGTGACCAAAAGGAGAGGCTTCCCCTGGGGAAGAGAAAAGGCATGGTCAGTGCTTTGATTAACTGTTGTTTGATCAGTCTGTCTAAAGCGGGGATGTAAAGGGTTGCCTGGGTGGCACAGTCCATTAAGGGTCTGACTCTTGGTTGCAGCTCAGGTCATGATCTCAGGGTCCTAATATCAAACCCTGCACTGTGCTCGTGGCGAGTTTGCTTGGGATGCTTTCTCTTCCTCTCCCTCTGCCCCTCTTGCTTGTGCTTGCATGCTGTCTCTCAAATAAATATGTAAATCCTTGTTTGTTTGTTTTTAATTTTTTGGAATATTTCATTTATTTATTTGACAGAGGGAGTGAGAGACCACAAGCAGAGAGAGCAGTAGAGGGAGAGGGAGAAGCAAGCTCCCTACTGAGCAGGGACCATGATGTGGAGCTCGATTCCAGGACCCTGGGATCACGACCCAAGCCAAACGCAGATGCTTAACTGGCTGAGCCACCCAGGTGTCCCAAAATAAAAGAATCTTTAAAAAAAAAAAAAAAAAAAAAAGGAAAAAAAAAATAGGAGCGCCTGGGTGGCCCAGTTGTTAAGCATCTGCCTTCAGCTCAGGTCATGATCCCAGGATCCTGGGATCAAGCCCCACATCAGACTTCTGCTTGGCAGGCAGCCTGCTTCTCCCACTTTTAAAAAAGATTTTTTAAAGAGTTAAAATAAAATATTCTAACAACAATAAAACAAAGTGGAGACATAAGGACTTCCCGTGAATCTCTGAGGTAGCAAGTGCTAAAATAAAAGGAATTAATGGTTACTACCTCATTTTTATTCTGATAAAAATTTTTTAAAATTTTATTTATTTATCGGAGGGAGAGAGAGCAGTAGCAGGGAAGAGAGGGAGAAGCAGGCTCCCTGCTCAGTGGAGCTTGATCCCAGGACCCTGGGATCATGGCTTGAGCCAAAGGCAGATACTTAACCAATTGAGCCACCCAGGCGCCCCTATTCTGATAAAAGTAATACCTTTTTAAAAAGATTTTATTTATTTGGGGTGCCTGGGTGGCTTACTGGGTTAAGCCTCTGTCTTCTGCTCAGGTCTTGGTCTTGGGATCGAGACCCACATCAGGCTCTCTGCTCAGCAGGGAGCCTGCTTCCCCCTCTCCCTCTGCCTGCCTCTCTGCCTACTTTTTTTTTTTTTAAGATTTTATTTATTTATTTGAGAGAGAGAGTGAGAGAGAGAGCATGAGAGGGGAGAAGTTCAGAGGGAGAAGCAGACTCCTGGCAGAGCTGTGAGCCTGATGCGGGACTCGATCCCGGGACTCCGGGGTCGTGACCTGAGTTGAAGGCAGTGGCCCAACCAACTGAGCCACCCAGGCGCCCCTCTCTGCCTACTTTTGATCTCTCTGTCAAATAAATAAATAAAATCTTGAAAAAAAAGGACTTTAGGGGCACCTGGGTGTCTCAGTGGATTAAAGCCTCTGCCTTTGGCTTGGGTCATGGTCCCAGGGTCCTGGGATTGGGCCCCGCATTGGGCTGTCTGCTTGGCGGGGAGCCTGCTTCCCCCTCTCTCTCTGCCTGCCTCTCTGCCTGCTTGTGATCTCTGTCAAATAAGTAAATAAAAAATCTTAAAAAAATAAAGATTTTATTTATTTGACAGAGAGAGAGAGAGACAGCAAGAGAGGGAACAGAAGCAGGGAGAGAGGGAGAAGCAGGCTTCCTGCAGAGATGGGAGCCCAACATGGGGCTTAATCCCAGGACCCTGGGATCATGACCTGAGCCAAAGACAGATGCTTAACGACTGAACCACCCAGGCACCCCAAAATTAATAATACTTAAAAAAGCATCTCATGCCTCAGGGGAAAACTATCTATCTATTTATTTAGTAGGCTCCACACCTAGCATCGAGCCCAACTCAGGGCTTGAACTCATGACTCTGAGATCAAGCATGGGACCCTTAACCAACTGAGCCACCCAGGTGCCCCAGGGGAAAAGTTTTTAAAACAGTCTATTTAAAAACAAAATTATGGTGTTTTTTTACCTTTCTTTTACTTTGAATATTTGCTTGTGAACAGAATCTTTGTTCCTTTATGGCCCTTTTGATTTTGCCGCCCATTCCTTAACTGAAGTATCTTTTGTGATATTTTCACAGCTGCTGATAATTGAGCACAAAGGTTTTCTTTTTTTGTCAGTTGTTTGGCTCTTAATAGAGCGCTAAAGACTTTAAAGGAGGGCTGTATGGGAAGATGTTAACAAGGAAAAGTAAAGAGGAAAGCAGATTAACTTAGTGAATTTGTGGTGGGTTCTGATGTTTGGAGGGTGAAGGATTCAAGAATGTATATATGATTCATTGTAGCCTCCTAAGGACCAGGTTTTGCTTACCAGTGTTTGGCAGAGTGCATAGTTGCCCCAGAGTAATTGCTCATTAAATATTTGCCAAATGGTGTGGGGGGGAGCACCTGGATGGCTCCGTCAGTTAAGCATTTGACTCTTGATTTCTGCTCAGGTCATGATCTCAGGATTGTGAGATTGAGCCGCCCCTCCTCCCCCAGTACTCAATGGGGAGTCTGCTTGAGATTCTTTCCCTTTCCCTCTGTCCCTCCCTTGGCTTTCTTGGCTGTGCTCTGTCTCTCATTCACTCAATTAAATCTTTTTTTTTTTTAAGATTTTATTTATTTATTTGACAGAGAGAGATGGCGAGAGAGTGAATACAAGCGGGGGGTAGTGGGAAAGGGAGAAGTAGGCTTCCTGCTGGGCAGGGAGCCTGACGTGGGGCTCAATCCCAGAACCTTGGGATCATGACCCAAGGCAAAGGCAGAGACTTAACAACTGAGCCACCCAGGCGCCCCTCAAATAAATCTTTAAAAAAATATTT